CCATGGCGGGGAACGTCGTGGGGGCGCTGACAAGCCGCCGAGGGTGCGAACCACCGGGCGGCATGGAACGTCTTGGGGCGTACCTAGCTGGCGCCTCCCGCGGATTGACATTGGGCTGATAGATGCCGGGTTAATGTCCGAGTTGGGTGCCCGCCGGCATCGAGAAGTGGTGGACGCTGAACGCTCGATCGTCGCGGGGACAGCGCTAGAACAAAAGGACAGGTGAGGACAAGGCGGAGGGAAGACACGGCAAGCTCGAGCGGCGCACGCGAACGACGCAAGGACGTGCCACAGATGAGATGGATGATCGGTAGCGAGACTCGAAGGAGAACAGGGAGAACCATGTCGTATTACACGTTCGCTCGGGAAAGCGACGCTATCCTAGTGGGCGAACTGGAAAGGGGAGGTGCCGTCCAGTTCCGTAGGCGCATTGGGCCGTGCATCATAAACTCGTACGTACCGCTGAGCAACACTCTCGGCTCCAGCTGCTGATACAGTGGGACCGCGGTAACTCGGCTCGTCGGGACGAACGAGTTGATCGTCTTACCGAGTAGCCATAACAACTTTGTGGGCATCAGACCCACAATTGAGCTCGCGTGCGGGAGATGCGTCGTCTGCGCAGTGCAGCGCTGCTAGCGGAGGAGTAACGTCGTCAGTGGACGGTGATTCCTATCTTGGAGACAGCATCGGGCCCACATGTCGCAGTGTGGTTGACGCCGCGACGGTCCCCTCCACGATTGTATTCATGCGGGTGCTGCAGGAGGATCGGCTGAAGGGCGTCGCTCCGCGTGCAGTGAAGGGTGTTTGAGAGCATAGACATGTTGGTAGTGAGATATGTTGGCTTCACCCTTTAGCTTGTTTTAGACGTCTGGGAATAAAGTTTGAAGGGCAACATTCTCGGATTCTGTGCTGGGCAAAGTATCGACATTTACAGCTCTCTTTGATCTCGAAATTTTCGGCTCTCATCCTTTTGCCGCATCACTGTGCTTGGACTACTGTAGACAGTCGAAATATCAGCACCCAATAATCATCAATCCTCAAGTCTCACTAAGCCGTCCTTCATCGGTTCCTGTGGCCAGGGCCTAGCGGAACACCTCTGAGGACTCGATGAGAGTATCCAAAGGCGAGCGCAACTGCAGATCAGTATGGCTATTACATGTTGGACGTCTGGGACTCAGGTGGCCGCAGACAGGCCGAAGACAAGAAAGATCAGAAAATTCAAGTTCAAGAGAGCAGACGGAACTGCGAAGACTTTGACCAACAACGTGGCAACAACTCGCGGTCCTTATTCTCCTCCTCAGGCACTGGCATGTGCACAGTGCCAAATTCCAATGCAGACGCGCTGGGTACGTCGCTACCAAGTCCGAGCCGCTGTGAACTGATGTGGGTCAGAAACCGGAGGCCTAACCATAAGATTTGCTCCCAACGCCCCTGCTAGCCAGTCCTTGGTCTCATGATCTCAACGTTCTCAACTCTCGCCTTCCAGGGAGCCTCTTCGTGGCCACCACACCGCATACTGATTGAATTTCATTGCACTTGCTCCGAACTGCGGTGGCTGGCACTAGTGACCTTGTTGTCCTCACCGTCACACTGGAACGCAACCCAGCGTACTCATCCCATAAATTGGCCGAGCAGCCTACGTAGGGCATCTTTCCCTTCACGTCGGAGCGATTACAATGTCTTGTTTCTCGCACTGAGTAGCGATAGTCGGCGAGCCCTTTCGCTACTGCGTGGGTTGCTAAACTGCGTGCTGGCCGTCGTGACGCGCCGATGTATGTGCACTGGCTGAGTGGCACACTGACGACAGAGTGTCAAGGTTACTTACCTGCAACTCGACTGGTTCTTATAACTTCAGACACGCACGTCGGGTGTAAAACCTCAATGGTTGGTGGTGGAGGAGAACACTGTCTGGGCAGTCCGAGACTCTGAGCCAAATATCGATCGAATGTTCGTCGCCAACTGCAACTGCTTGCCGAGACAATAAGAGACGTACGACGTGCGCCCTACATACATGCACCATGCGGCAGCTACTACGTTTGGCGGCCTCAGACGGCAGTCTTGAGGAGCCCTGAGCGCTCTGAATGATGAAGTGCGCCAACACAAATTCTGTCCTAACCGTGGGTTGCTGCAAGCATCCCGTACTCCCACCGTCCAAGTCCGAGCGTTGATTGTCTCGTGAGGTGTGACAGCCCCCAGTGAAGGGCTTACTGAGGGCATTAGAATCATGTCTCCTGAATCCCCGACATGCACCTGCACCCCGTCTGTGTCTAATGCCTGTGCTCGGAACTCTGTTGCGAACACATGTCAGCATATGGCTCGACTTTTACAGACAACAAAGAAAGCTTGCGCCATGCGCCGCTCGAGCCCGCCTTGCGTCTTCCCTCCGCCGCGCATCCATGACAACGCCGGACTTGTCCTCGCTCGTCCCTTTGTCACTCAGGCCGTCCCTGTGATGATCGAGCTTCCCCGTCTATCGCTTCCCGTCTCTGGCGGGCACCTAGTTCGGAGATTAATCCGGCATCTATCAGCCCAATGGCAATCCGCGGGTGGCGCCAGCTAGGTACGCCCTAGACGTTCCATGCTGCCCGATGGTTCGCACCCCCGGCGCGCGACGAGTGTCTGGGGCAGTGCGGGCTGCCTCGCGGATGGGCTCTCGGCGGCTTGTCAGCGTCCCCCATGCCCTTCCCCGCCACAGTGTAACTGCTAGCCGTCCGCCACTGAGGTCCGTGATGCGGCAGGCGAGCGACCGGTCTGTCTTGTGTCAGCTGCGGGTCCCTGCTAGCCGCGGTGCCAGTGTGTCCGGCCGCGGAAGGCTGGCTGCCCTGTGCGGCTGCGCGCGCTGATCGTCCCATCATGCGCGATGTTGCTCGTCCCTACTGGGGGGGCCTCCCAGATGCCTTCAGTACCAGCTTGATCTCGTGCGACGTGGACCGCCTCCCCGGGCGTCCACACGTCGCATGTCCCCGCCCGCTCACCAGGCCCGGCGTCCACTGTCGCGGTGCCGCAACGACGATTGCAGGATGAGTATGGTGGGCGGCTGATGGGCATCTTGCTGCTAATGGTGCCATCGGCGTCATCGCGCTCGCTGCGGCCTGCCCGCGGTGTCGTGATCACGCACACGAGGCGGCCGTGGATGCCAACGGTGTCGACAGACTTGAGCTGGATGGCACACTGCTCCGCATGCTGGGATTTCCGTGCTGCCCGAGGCCGTGTCTCGACCCTTTCCTCTCGGGCGGAGGCGGCACGATGATGGGCACGCACCCAATTTGCCTGCGCGTATGTGAATTAGGACAAGGGCAATTTGGGATCGGTCCGTAATTTACCGTAAATTAGCAAGGTCAAGCTTCTATACTGTAATTGACCCATGTAAATTACTGCAAATTAACCGCCAATGATGACGCGCTAATCGACGCTAATTAACGAGTCAATTTGGTCAATTCCGAATTCGCTATGTAATTTACAGCCCCATCGCCGTTTGTACGTGCTCCTATAGGGGAGAATAAGCAGGAGCCTATTCTGTAAGTTGAAGTATAGCCATAAAAGAGAAATGCTTTCGGGACCTCTTGCTTCGAGAACTTTCATGGCAAATAGAGCTCTGGGTCGATGAGTGCTGCAGTATACCTCTGGTAAGGAAGGCTAAAGCGGGCTTATCATTGACTTTTCATCTAACATCAATACGGGCGCTCATTCCAGATTGACCATAATTTACACCATGTTTTGGCCACGCCTGTAAATTACCACTAATCTTCCGGTAAATTAACACACTGTAAATTTACACCCCCAAATTCCCCTTGCCCCAATGCGAATAGGAATATAGGGATCGGGTAGCGAGTCATGCACTGGGACTATGTCGGCAGCTACGGACGATGTCAATCGTCCACCATCACTAGTGTATCATCCGAGGTGCAAGTAATTGGCAACAAACATTCGATCGGCACAGCTCAGGTGGACTGTTTCGCGGGAGCGGAGCCTTGGAAGTCGCAGAGTGTCGAGGCATATACTATCATGTCATGCCAAATCAGCGACCGACGGGCAATACCAGCTCGAGGCCGTGTCCTACGATATATACACGCATAGCTCGAGTGCTGCAGTGTGTCAGTAGCATACTTCATTGAGCTCGCTTCGCAAGGTCGCCGTATGGGGCCGCCATCCGCGATTGACCACCGCCGGGCGGGGCAGTAGAATGCATAGGCGGTGTGCCGAGCAGTGTGATTGATGAGATGGATAATCGCCACCACGCCTCGAAGGAGAACCGCGGCCGATGGGGGCGCGCGTGGCGGGGGGAACCAGCTCGGGTGACGAGATCATCGCGCAGGGGGGCAGGTGGGCGACGACGGCGCAGCGGCTGCGCACCGGGGCCAGGCGGAGACGCAGGCGCAACGAGGGACACGCGGGGCCCCGAGGCGCCCGGGAGGGTGGAGGCGACGAGACGTGTTGGTGGGGACAGATGACCAGCGGTGCGATGCTGGCAGTGGCAGCAGGCGACGCGCACTCGCGAGGGGTGGCACCCGCGCCGCGTGCGGGGCTGATCGTGGAGGCACCCCGGAGATCTGCCATCGGCCCAGCCGTCAGCGCAACTCGCCCGCGCGGGCCCACGTCGCGGCGCTGAGGAAGGAGAAGCGCACGGACGCACAAGATCTTTGTGAAGCCCAAGGGCAGGTGCGGCCGGGCAGGTTCGCCGCACATGGTGTGCACGGATGCTGATTCGGGCGGAGGTGGGCGTAGGGCGGGTTGGCTGGCTGCTCTGACTACTGAACCGTCGACGGTCGAGCCGCAGCAGGGCTGCGTTGTCTGTGCGACTATGACGTGCTTCGACGGAGCGACGCCCGGAGGGGGCAGACAGACCATGCCTCTTATAGCACGGCGAGTCTAGGCCGGGGGTCAGTCAGGTACACACCGTGAAGGCCAGCCAGCGGAGCGGGAGCGAGAGAAGGGCTGCGCGCGACTCGAGGCAGAGGGTGCGTGCGGGCGTGGTGCTCGACTCCCATCCAGCAAGAACATTGCAACCGACGGGCCGTCGTGCGACTGCCATCTCTGAGAATCTGACGAGGCCGGGAGCATTTGGAGGGAGACAGGCGGTGCGGACGGGCGTCGACGCGGTCCTTGTGATGCAGACGCCAGAGGGGGGAGATAGAAGACGGACACCAGACGGCGGACGGCCAGAGCGCAGGCACATGATGTCAGCCGCGCCGCTCCCGGGGCCCTTCAAGTTGGATATATCAGACCAATCGCGGGGAGCGGTGCGCGGGAGGAGTGGGCACACGTGCACGGCGCGACATGTAGCGCGGTGAAACGGCGAGGCGAGGCGAGGGCGAGGCGACTCGGGGGGACGACGGGGGCGCCAGAACGGACGGAGGAGACAGCCGGGCGCAGGGCGGCTGGAGGGTGTCCAGATATGGGCGGGGGAGGTTCGCGCGTGCCTCGTTGGAACGGCATTGTGATGGGCGGGCGTGGCGCCACATGGGTCGGATGGGAACGACCGCAGCGCGCAGCGGAGGGGGGAGGGGGGGGGCGCTCTTCCGCCGCAGTTCGTTGACATCGCGCTGTCGCCACCCCGAGCCCGTCGGCCGCTGTGTGCGCTGTGGACGAGCGGCGGGCGTGGTTGGCTGGTGGAGGCGAGCTGGAGACCGCGCGGATGGCGGCGGCGGCGGCGGCGGCGG